CATTTTATGTGCACAAATTTGTGGAACGGTAAGCAGAAAAGCCAGAGATGGCTGTTAAATTCACGTCATTGTTCCCAGCTATTTCATTCACTAAACATGGCATCAAGGATTTTGGGCGTAGAGCTATCGCGTAGCTCGAGGTATGTATCTAGTGAAAATACGCATGACCGCTACGTGAAAATGGAAATTCTCGTTTAACAACCAGCTGATCGTAAGGCTTTAAAAGTGAGTGGTTGGATGGGCTATTTCTGGATCACGGCGAAGTGTGCCGGAAGCGCTAATCGGTCGGTTTATAGAAAACGAGCTTTTTCGGTAAAATTCTTCACTGACGTTATGACATGGAGGAGTTACTGGAGATGGTTGCATATGAAGTACGACCTTAGAAAGCCAATTGTTTCTAGTGTCAAACTTTCGGTAAAGGCAGCTTTGGAATATCAGTGCCACACTTACATACTATGGCTTACAAATTCCGGTTGTAAACCACCTCGTGAAAACTACCTGTAAACAACCTCGCAGACTAAATCAGCACACTAAATTGGCACCAACCATATGAGAACAGATTCTGTACTTGAATTTTTTTCGAAAAGTGCCATCGTTTTCCTCCCCGAATTCCTTTCATATTCTCCAGAAAGTTACTGAAAAATCGTGATGACTCAGACTAGTTGTTCTGATTCGCTTGAAAACAGCCTCCTAGAAAAGTTTATAAAATTTAGAAGTTCCCTCTTACTTGGAACCGGTAACATTTTGTGAGTAATTCGCGTTCGTAAACCAAACGCTCTGGTGACCTTTTGGCAAAGGCGACTGCGCTGAATAATGCTTGGTTCAGACCATTCGGTACCCATCAGTCATGCCCGCCATTCGGCGCATCAGTTCTACCATCCTGGACGTTCACCTGTTTATTATCGGAAAAAAACACCCGTGTATGTTTACCTCCGCGGGCTTGCCTTTGCGTGAAACGATCGATCGTGAGCCAAGTAAAGTTTTGGTCGAAACGTGACAATCATTCGTGATTCCATGTCAGAGGACCATAGATAAATAAAATATTTTTTCCAGGGTTCTAAATACCGCAGTTTTTCCTTTTCTTTTGGCGATACATGTGAGGTCCCTGAATCGTGACCACTGGTTATTTATCTTAGGTGGAATTACAGTGATACAAACGTGACCTTCACTTACTCAGAAATATGGTAATTAACATAAGTGTTACAAAATAATGGACATTCTAAACTATGCATGACACTGTTATATATCTGCTGATTCGCTAATCTGTGGTATCTGCTGCTGACCCACCCCAGTGCCTGAAAAAAGACCCAGAGAAGGGAACACAACAGCTATATTCCGAACCAGCGAGTGTGAGTGCGTGCGTGCGAGTGCGAGAGCAAAAGTTACAACGGCCCCACACTATTTAAAGGGGACTTTCTGACATTGATCCAGGCTGTCTGATAGGCGTTGGTGAACACCCGTCAACATCGATCGTGCCTCTATGAAATGCCTGAACGCTGATCACATTCGGTCATGCTTCTGTGGCGTGCATGAGGACACATTGGCTTTTGCTGAATTGATTAAATGATTGACTGTCCTGGATGCTTGCCGGCTTTCCTGTTGAGATTTTGGTGGAGCAGTAGGTTCCGGGCGTTCTGAGGTTACTTCCAGGAACCTGATCTTCCTGATGGGCATTAAATGAATGTCTATCTCAAGTCAACATGAACAGAAAAGCTATCATCAAATTCGGCCACCCAGATAAGATTTACTCGTTTTTAACGATTTTGTTAGGTCCGGATGAGATGGTAACTCTGGTTGTAGATTGAATTTCCGCCTTGTCCTGAGGATGACTGGTTGGTATGGAATTAAAATCCCGCGTTACGAAAATTCCGATGATTAAGACCGATGCATTCCCCACGCATGCTCTACGGAGAACTATTCGAGTTCCACTAAATCTGCAGGTTGGCAGCATACCTTGTGTCTCTGGTTTGCGGTTGCGGGTGCACCACAACAGGTAACTATTTGATAGAAGGGCTATGAACTACCGTTCAGTTTAACCTAGCCCCACTATTCCCTAGGGAAGAAATAATGATGCGCCGTAAAATTCTGGTCCATTTTTTTTAACCAACAGGTGCGCAAACTCGTCAACATATGTTGTGGGACTGCACGCTGTGAACTAGTTGGACTGTCTATATATGCAGTGCGATTCATTATCGCAAGATAACCTCTGGCACATACGTCATTTGTCGTAGACAGGAGCATTTGGAAGTCTCTATTTGGAGTTGGTCATTAGTGCGAAACTTGCTGCGAAGAGCAAATTTAGGCGATTGTTAGTTTATTCACTGTGAAGTCTTGGTTTGTACGCCATGAATGCTTCTGATCTGCAGGTTGTCTGTCAGTCGATCCCTTCCTACTATTATTAAATTGCTTCAAATTCACACAACCTCCAACAACTTCAGTGTTTTCATCCTCCCATTCCCAACCCTGTCTTCGACCATGTTTTCGCCCTCTCCTGTTGGATTCGCACAAGAACATCATGTCGATTTAGATACTGTGGCGATGTTGAAGGCTATCATAGAAGAAGAGCGAGTTTTTACTGTTTTCTGACTTAGATAATCTGGCTTTCACTCCGTCAGATTTGCTTTAAACCATGGTGAATTTGGTCTTTTGCAAAGGGGGTTTCAAAGCACTATAGAGGGATTTGAAGGCGGAATCAGCGTGGCTGCAAAAGTGGACCATACATAATCGTGATGAAACCATTGTGCACAAAATAAGGAAGTACAAAACTGATGGTTGTGTGAGGACATTTGGTAATATTTAACTGATATTTCATTCTGTAGATGCAAACATCCTATGCTGAGAATCTGGGAGAATTGGCACAGTTGTTTTATTATTGTTGGAAATCCAATGCACATCTCAGAAATTTTCGAAACCTGTCTATTTAAGGACTGCTGTGCACGAAACGTCTGGATTCTTTAAGGTGGGTGTTGGGTCGATTTCCCCTGTCGCAAGAATTCTGAAATCTGCTCTGGTCACCTGGATTTCAATGCCTTTAAATGGAATTTTAGTCTAACCTTGCTGCGCTGTCACATTTTCTCAGCCCTATTTTTCTCCCAGCTGTCATCTTACACTCAATATCTCAAGTGCACTAAATGTGTATGATTAAATCTCGTCGGTTGCCATGCTCTTCACAAAATGAAGGCACGTCTCTTTGTCTTCCGAATTATCGCACTGAGATTTCGAATGTGTCCATAATGAACATCAGAAAAGCCATCTATCGCAGAGTTTCTGTATCCATTCGTTAAACTCATACACAATGTGAACCACTTGTTTAAAATTGGGCTGTCAAAACTACTCTTTCAATCTTCTCAACTCTGTCTTACTCTGGGGAAAACAGTCATAGTCAATTTCGTAAGATTTCATCTGTAGATTTCATCTGTATCATGTTGACATGAAATGAAACAAGACTGACCAGTTATGCCGGAAGTATTCAGCTTGTGAATAAATGTACAAGAAGTCTTTTGATAATTCAGGAGGTGCCGTTTCTCAAATGACCTTTGTAACCAAACAAATGTTGTATGATTCGAGATACGGCGTTCCGCTGACGGCTGCGTTTTACTGCCAATTTCCAAAGCAAACTTGCGGCGTCCGAGCGAAAGCATTCGCGTCTATAGCATTAGATTGAGTATAAGGAATTCGGAGCCCTTTGTATTCTATCGACCTCGTCCAATAGAGCTAAAACCAGGGGAGAAAATAATAGTGTACTTGCTATCCCTGTTTGTTTGAAAACCCAATCCTGTACCGACCAGCGTGAATATATGCGCGAATCAGAGGAAGACGAATATAGTGATAGACAGGAAACAGAGAAAAACAGACCTTTACATGTTTGCAATTAGTAAACTAGATCTGGGATTAGCGAATGCTATAACTGTTTCAAAATATATTTCCAAAAGGTGAAGGAAGGCAACCGCATCTTCGGGTCACTAAAGTGGTTTTCTCGGCTGTATTCGAACGTCCCTTCAGGCAATGAGCGGGTCGCGTAAGCCGTAAAGCGTCTGTATTGGTTTCTGTTTTGTTCTCTGGGCTGTACAGTTTGTAAGCATTTCACTACCAGTCGAGGCAAAATCATCAGTGCTTTGAATGGAAACGCAAGCGACGTGGCAACCCATATGCTCAGCTCAGCGAACAAAGTGACGGCCTGAGCTACTAGTGTTCTGTTCAACTGCAAACATCTGCATTACGAGAGGGTCTTTCATTGGTACCAACCACTTACAGCGGGCAATTTTATATACCATATGAACATCATCAACGCGCAAGAAGAAGACTATAATTGCCATAAAAACGGGGCTACTGGTACCAGAAGTCAGTTGCCGTGTGCAAAACTTTCTATTTACTTGCTTAGAAGGAGCATCCATTGAAGTTGGGCACAACGGGGTCTGGTATTTTACCCTAGACGAGAAGCCACATCAGCAAAATAAATCCAAAGTTTTATCAGTGATTAGGTGTCATTGTGAACATGTAACTTGTGCTTTACTGACGGGTGCAGTTTAAACATGTTTGAATAAACCTGAATTGTTTCCAGACCCCTGTGCAAAAACAGAATAATGTACGCTTGCCCACCAGTAGCAAATTTTTAGCCGGCTCGGTTTCACTTTAACGGTTCCCGTAGCATGTGGAAATGTTTAAATTTTTGCAGCACTTAGGTGTTGCCTTGTCTTCTGTGCAGTCATCGGTATCTCTCATACTCTCGTCAATTTTCACATCTCCACGGTTTGTTTTGTAATGTCCACAGTGAAGAACTTGCCATGGGACAAACATAAGCATAGATGCACCCGATGGCTGGCAGTTAGTGCAAAACAGAACATATCGCTCTGTTTTCAACTGAATTGTGTGGTAGAATATCCTAATGACATTATTTCATCTCGATAGTGAAATCACCTGTCATTTTTAAGTAACACATTCGTACGTCTAGGTTGTGTCCCAAACCGAAAGATGCGTAACAATATTCCCTCTTTCATTAGGGCTTCTTTGAGAAACAGCTGAAAGCGGAAACTGACGTCATGGTGGATGCGATCCGAAGGTTGAATACTTCCAATTCGTCTAACGCCGAATTATGGAAACAACCGATCAAGCAAACTGCTCTACCAGCCAAACTCAATTCTGAAATGTTACTCCGGCAGCAGATATGTCACTTCTTACCCGTTGTACCAGTTCGCCTAGAAAACTCCTTTAAAGCAATTCTCGGTGAGTCCGCTCTTGTAAACCAGTCCGAGGGTTTTTTTGTAATTTTGTATTTCAGAAAATACTATGTTCGTATTTCCTGATCAACAATCTAACTCCATCTCCAGAAGATGTGGGTCCAAGAAGATGAGGAAACCTCGAGACCACTTACACTTACATTATATCACTTACATTAGGAGAGACAACTCTCCCCCCAAGATTGGTATTTCCAGGATAACATGGCTCACCATCACTGACAGAAAATTAGTTTCTGTAACAACTGATGTTTCAAAAAATTCTGATGAGGTCTTAAATAGGAAATAAAATCACAGATGAAATACGGCTACAATAATTGGATAACAGCAGATTACGCAATTGGTGATCTGGTGAAAAAAGATGCTTTCTAAGTCTCCAGGGATGTTTACACAAGTATTTTATTAACCACGGCAAAATCAACGCATTCGTGCAAACTTTCATCATGATGTCTGTTTTCTATCACTAGAATTACTTTTTATTAAAAAAGACTTTGGTTTTAAAACCTGGGGAACTGGAGATATAATAGGCCTCTTGTTGTGGCAGTTACTCTATCCTTGGATACTTCTAGGGCTCTACGTCTGACAAGTTGAATAAGCGCCATGAGATGATAGTCACTGATCAGCACCAAGTGCGTGTTTGTTTGTCCGGCTAACACAAGTTTACTTTGTGATGTATCGTATGGACAAAACCATTCCCTAAGTTCAAACGAGGAAGATGACGGTAGTCCGCGTCGAGGCCGTTGTTCAGCCGATTTCAGCTGACTTTCGCGAGCTTGCACAACATGACCGAATAGTGCTTGATTCCGTGCAACCAGGGGGTTGTCAATGTTTCGAAGGACTTCCGTAGTAACTCTTCCGTAGAGAAATCTGTTCCAATAACGACGCACAGATCTTGGAACAAGAGACTAGCGTCAGTAGAACTTGCGTACGCTTCATCAGTAACACATTGAAACTCCATAGAATCCAGTACAGTCGTAGACTAGAGCAAAGGCATGAACCGCCTCCACAACCAGTATTCTGTCCAGTGATATCTCACGCCGATTACACTGGGCATTTCTGTCTGTGTGTTCAACGAATGTCCCTGGTGTAACAAATCTCTCCGACCCAAGAATTGCCAAATTCCCGCAGTTAAACGATCAATGTCAAAATACTATATCACATTTTGCATTTCTGCACTGTAAATAATATTACGTTCTGTTTTGTGTAGTTCGCTGTAGCAGAACAGGTCTGCACAACGTTAACAACTCAATATTTGACTGCAGACTGAGCACTTTTTTGGCGTGGCGCCAAATGATTATGAAAGAAAAAAATCCGTAAGACTGACAGGGTCGCAACAGATCCATAAATAAGCGGCCTTCACGTCATGCATGGTACGTGAATTTCGTGGTCATATTCGTGAAATACCCATTTTTAGAACCTGATGAATCTACAAAAATGTTTGGCGACAGGGTGCAAGAATACACACAGTATATCCTCCCTCTCACGGAGGGTTTTTTCGAGCTTTTCAATTATCTTCTATTCAGAGTAACCTGTGTTCGGCCCCGCACAAACTCAAGCAGTTGCCCACCAGATTAATGTTGCACAAAATGTATCCTTTCCAACATTCTCCGTATCGGAACTGACTCCACGCATTCAATCACAATCGCGTAAGAATTCGTCGACTAAAGTTGGAGAAAGGGGAATTTTGAGAAGCTGTGTCAAGGCAGTCATACGGTTAGGCCACAGATTGTTGCATCGCAGCTACTCCAGCTATTTATCAGAGGCACACGACGGTATACACGAAGCCACATGATGAAATACGTTATTATTTTCGATTTCTACCACTGCGTTGTAGGCTTGTTTATTTGTAATTAATGATGCGTGCTGTGGTTGAAGAAATTGTTCGAAATAGTTCCCTTACCCCATCATTGTTTGACATTCAGATTCAAATAACTTACTAGGGGAACAATATCCTTTGTGGACGTTATTCACAACTATTTTGAGCTACTTAAAAATCAGCGCACTAAATGTGAAGCCCAAGTAATTTTGGCAGCGAAGTATCAGTGCTAAACACTGACGTCATACTTTCCATGATGATGCTGATGCAAATTTGACAAAATTTCATTTGCGTGCCGATTCCTACTACTGATTCTAACCGGTAGATTTGGATCACTCATTCTACACGAACCCGTGACCATGACAGATGTGAGCATTCCATACAGATGTAGAGTGCAGTGGAATGTAATCCAGTCGTGGGCTTCCGAAAAACTTTCAGCAGCCTCTTAATTAGTGTGTTACTTCTACCTGACCTATTCCGATGTTCTCCTATTTGCATGACTTATCCCTAACATGGCCACCATCAATAAATTCATCACAATTGCGAAACCAAAACTATAGCTTTGCTGTCACGCACAACAGTAGGTTGCTTTGGGGGAGGCTTGCAGGATAACAGGAAGAAAACCGAAGAGATAGATGATCTGGCCAGAATTGCCAAATTCCCGCAGTTAGACGATCAGTGTCAAAATATTGTATCACATTTTGCATTTCTCCACTTTAGATAATATTACATTCTGTTTTGTGTAGTTCACTGTAGAATTATTTTTATTTTATCAGTACCCATTGGGTTTGTAAGGGCGGAATGTGTCAGTTTCAAATCTTTCACCTGCTGCTCAGGAGAGTGAGCTTTCAAAAGGGAAGAAAGTCGGACCGGCTCTGAGCCATTCAAAAGTTTGTAGTACAGCCTGTACTTTGAAAAATGATGAAATGGATTATGTTTTTGAAGTGCCCTTGTACTCTCCCACTTGATGGCGCACAAAATAGGTTCCAGCGGACGAGTGCACCTTTCATTTGCTGACAGGATGACTTAATCCGGCTAACCTTTCACTTGATCTATGTCACGACAGCTGAATACACCCTGGGATATAGAGACCACCGTATAAAATGAATGAAATCTCTCTGTTACCGCTTGGGAAAAAAGGGTAGCTCCGCGCCCAACTAAGAGTTTCAATCAACCACCAGGCCGAAATCATAACCGGCTGTTCCCTACTCTTAATTTTATCCTAACCGAATCCACAGGCGGTCAACATAATGCAGTGGCGAACCTCTCCGAAAGACATGTCGTTTCGTATTCCAAACCCAGCTGATCTTCTCCCCAGTTCTCTGATTTTTGCTGGCGGTTTTATCTCTGTATGGTAGTCTCCAAATCAATTGCGATTGACGAATACTTCTTCACTAACGAAAGCGCTCCGGATTCTCAGTTGGCGGTGTTACGACAATCCTTCTCAAGTTCTGAGGCGTTTTTGTTGTTGAAGTATCTCATACGAGAAAATCTTTGTCATCTAAAATGATTTCTCCCAGGGTGGAATTAGATGCACTAGGAGGCGAGTACCGCATTGACAGTAGAGTTCGCTGGTTTTGGGAAGTTTGAATTAGCACTTCGTAAGTTGAACCAAGTCTTACGTCACGAACCACGTGCAGCATAGTCAGACGTATTTCAATGACAGTGTCGAAATGCTAGTTGCTTGGGTACCCACTTAACTGTGAACTGACTGCATCTCTTAGCACAGTGAACAAACGTGTCTATAGAGACGAACAGATTAGGTACCACCAGATCAGAAAACTGTCGGGAAGCTTCCAGACTCGAAAAGTACATTCGCAGGCAAGTACGCGTCCCCAAGGTCACCATCGGTACCATACGTTCATAGCAGGTGCGTTGGTGGAGCTTACCGAACACGGCTTAGCAGCATACGACCAGCGGAGTGGGTATAAAGTTATTCAAGGCAGGAAAGTTGCCATTGGCTGAAGGGAACGAACAAGTGAATGACCATATTTGACCATTTAACCCTATTTACGCAGAAGCTCTGTATGTTTGTTCTGTTTTTCCTGTTCCTTGTCTTCTTCCTATCGCGTCGTCTGACAGGCTCAGTTCCCGTGCATCCAATAGACAGCCGTCCACAGTTCAACACAGATGGTGTATTCTGTTTGGCTGAACTGCGATGGCAAGCTTGCTGTGAACTGTCAGGGTGATTGGTAAGCAGCAAAGGAGGCCGGTTCCCGCACCGTAACGTCCAAAAGGGACTACACCTAAAAAAGAGCAGTCGCCACTATGATTCGCTTTTAGGAAATTATTGGTGCGTTATTACGATTCTGTACCTGAGTTACCGCAACTTTAGTAAGACGGCCTCTGTGCAATTTCGCCTCTATACCTGTCCACTCCATTTGGATCATCGGTATGCATGTCTCTGAGACTGTGTAATTCCTATCTACAGTCCTGTGTCCTCGACCACAGCAGAGGTAACCAAGACCCAGTATACCATCCCCGATCTTTTAAGCTGATTATTTCATTGAATACTTAACTGGATATGCAAGGGAAATTATGGGAGGATTATGATACGAGGGGATGAAGCTATGGTGTGATGATTATTATACTACTCATAAGTAGCGTAGAAATAATGTTCAAGCATATCCTGTAGAGTGTATAAAATTCCGTCCATTCCTGTCACCTTCTGGTGGACGGTTCTTTTGACTCAAATAATGTACTCATTCTTCCCAACTTGCATATGAGTTTAGCTAAACGTGTTTGTCTCGAATAGTGACTGATTTTGAAGAAGGATTTGTTAGTAACCAAGACCTGGCAGGAGTTGATCAGGGTGTAATTCACTAGCTTACATTAGTGTCTTGTAGTCTAACGTTGGCAGGCCTCGGTAAATGTAAATTTCATATAGTGAGGTTTGAGTGTTTCTTGTGAAGATACAAACCGAACTGGAATGTATTGTAGTTGCAATTAAATAACAAACATGGTTGTTGTTGGTATATAAACTTCATGAAGATCGAGTATCAGGCTATCAAAATGTCATCGAATACAGCCAGAAAGTTAATTCAAACAGATTGTTGCCAAAGTCACCTAAAAACTGACTTTTACCCCAAGTTTTCCATATTTTGTCCAGCAATATCTCACACCAACCTAAAACTCTATGTCGCTCTTATCGCCACATTATCCAATCGCGAATCTGTGCTTCCCTCTGTTCCCAGGTACAAATAGTTTCAAATTCTATCAACATTATAACAGTATCAGTATTCGAAATCTGCTGTGGACGGCCTTGGTCAGTCGAGCAATAGATGCGGATTGGAATACCTTGGAACAAGCACGCCGACTTACTATAACCGCCTTGCTTGTTGGAATAGTAATGATGGGATGTATTGGAATGGTAGATATATGTGGATGGATTTTTCAGGGACGTTACTTTCCCCGGTGTGGATCTGCCAGGTACCACCCTCCCATTCCCATGCAGCAGCGTCAACGGCAAACTTGCGCAATTCCCGTCAACACATCACACTCTTCAGCACACCATATGGAAGGGGATATGGAATCAGAACAAATTGTGCTTGTTTCTCCCCAGCCTCCACCGGTTATTCAATGGCCAAGACCAGTTCACCGGTCATACTTGAAACGAACCCCAATAAAAATACTTCCCGGTGAAAACCAGAATGTCACTCACGCCTGCGAGACTCATCTGATACCTCATTCATGTGCCAAACACTTTACTTCTGCATCACCAGTTCCCTTGACTGCATTCTACTTGAATTCAGGTCTGGTTTTCCCGCCAAACGCCACATTTCAACATATTCCACTAGGTCCCACACAAAATTCCGTTCCCGTTCTCCTCACACCACACGGTCCCACACCTACACTTTTGCTGAAGTCTGACAGCCAGCAGACCATGTCCGCTATCACCTGAATGACGCAATCAAGGCAGAGAACATTCCAAAGCGTTCAATACACATTCTGAAGAAACACTAAACCAAATTGAATTTTCAGTATCGTTATGATTATTGTCTACCCTTTATGATAACAGATGGTGGTTACTTGGTATTGCTTCTTGCATAAAATTCGAATAAAACCTCCAGTCCATACTAAAACGTTAAAGAACTAAATGAGCTGAAATTTTTTCGATAAAATTGTGAAAGACTATCCAATACACTGAAAGCAAACTATGTTGTGAAACTATGTGCAACTAGACGAATTAATAAAGCATCTTAGGCGGGATTTTCAAAAGCTAAATATTTTCAGCTACTACTCCTTCAAAGTAAGAGTATATATATTGTAGGTGCTATTGTCTTTTTACTCGAAGTAATATCAGAAGGTGAAATAGCACTAACAATAAACAGTTCCACGTAAACGTGCACGAACATGAATGACGAGATAGCTCAAAGAGGCCTAATATGGCATTTTTAAGCACCAGCAACAATAGCTTGTTTGGCATTCAGGCACACGGGGCATCCCTCAAGTCCTTTGGGCTTCACTCCGAGACTGCCACCCTCCTCTAATGGCGCCACATAAATTTCCTCGTGGCCCGTCTATTAAAACGTCTTCAATTTGGGTTCAAGTAAAACATGAGGTTGACGGAAATTCGGGGACTGTGCCTACCTGAGGGCCCCTAAGAAGGGCGAAACTGGTCGTGGGTTGTCGAAGAGTTGTCAGCAACTTGTGGGAATGCATCTTCCGTACTCAGGAGATCAAATAATCATGATCAGGTTACAGAAAACTCACTATTACAACACATTCGCTGTCCCGACGATGAAAGACAGGCTGAACTGTGGAGAACAGTCTCACCCACTTTACCGTGATTCATTTAACTTACGCTTTTTTCTTTGCAGTGATCTTAGAGCTTGCAGTAGGATAGACAATGTAGACTTACCCCCACATTCAAGACAGGTTGGAGAAACATAATTCAAGAATATAACCGGATTGTTCGATCTATTAGACTGCCTTGGAAATAATCATGGAAATATTGAAGAAAGCAACCTGTAAAAAGTCTCTAGGACAGACCGACCGCAAACTGTAGGGTACGTTCTTTAAGCGGGATGTTCACCCTCGAAGATAGACTCATTCTAAGACCGAAATACGAGGTTTGCGTTTGATAGTGCGGAACCACTGCAAAAGACCGAAAGCTTTTAGTAGTGCTGGAACTGTGCGCACCCGGACGCGAACATTCACGTTTGCAACAATACATACTGCAACATTTTGGTAACCTGCCACCACTTACCAAACTTAACGCTTCGAACAATTACTTCACGTTCGCTGTTTTGTGCGTACTTTTCATCAGACTGTAGATGTACTGCATTTGTCAGTTTCCCGGTGAGTCAGAGGGAGTGTTAATAAAATTGTATAGGTAACTTGTTCCTCTTTGACCACTCGTTGTCGAAGGGCATATGGCGGCCACAATAGGTGCATTTACTAGTCTTTGTAAACTGGGGATCCCACTGAAAACATTTTACTCGTAGTTCATCGAGTTTATCACTTACTTGTTAGTTGTTCGTTGTTAGTTACGCTAACAGAGCCCATATGCTTGTAAAATTAAAACTACTTGATTGGTTCACCTTCATCATACAGCTGTCTTGTCCGTTGGGTGACGGGTAAACATGGTGTGACAGATTTAGAGCATTATCCACTTGCGTGAATTATGTTCTTGAACCAAATGCGATTCTTTGAATCTGCCATAGCACGCTTTACATTTTAATGGTTCCATCGACCAGCTATCAAGCGCAAATTTGACGCGTATTAATGCGTCTGAAGAATACTTTTTGCGATGTGGGAAATGTGAATTCACAGACCTTTGTCAACTTAGCATGGTATTGTAACATCTAGGTGGACCTGTACGGGATCTGTTCCATATTATGGAATGCTTTCACTTGCGCGTGCTCTGTTGAACTTGAAATTGTTCTTGCACTGGGTGGCTATTTTCGGATATTCTCACTTAGTGGCTGTTAAGATTCCTTCCCGCTGTTCGATATTATGGAATGTTTTCACTTGCTCGTGCTCTGTTGAACTTGAAATTGACCTTGCACTGGGTGGCTATTTTCAGATATTCTCACTTAGTGGCTGTTAAGATTCCCTCGACGGAACTGTAATTCAAGCCCGGGTTCCACGACTCCAAATATCAAAAGAAAGAATTCGGTTCGAAAGTCTACGGTTCTACTTACACAAATTGAACGATTGATGCAATAAAGTTCAATTGTCTACGTTCGTGGCGTCAGCGGGTGCACAAGTCTGTCACTGATTGGCACAGTGCAGCGCCAAGGTCAAGGTCTGCAAACCAGAAAAATGCGAGTGCATTGTCGGCCCGGTATTGTGGGTTGCGTCATACGTTCCAAGACCAGTCTTACGATTTTGATTGGCGTTGCAATGACATCGAAATCACGACAGGAGAGATCAGGGCAGGCTCAAAAGAAGGGGCACGAAGAGGCATGGGTAAGTAGGTCAACTGCTCCCATTCATACACGTACACATATGCACACACACGTACATGCACACGTACACCAGTGTTGAAAGGGCAGCCTTTCGACAAAGTAAATGGCTATTGCGGATGAGCAAATGAATCGGGGAATTATCATGAGATTCAACACTAATTTCTTCGCAACAGCTCGTTGGTTGGGTTGCCCATTGTGGACTTTAAGCTGATATTCTGCCACCTCTTGGGAAGTTTTCAATTGTAGTTCAACGGCTTTGCACTGATCACACTTAGCATTAGCATGCCTGCATTACCGCAGTTTTTTTATAATCATGGTCTTTTCTAACACTATGATTCGCGCGTCCTTCAAAGGGAGCCTCTTGAGTAGTGGTCGCATTCGGAAGCATTTACACTACAAAATTATCCTCAGATTCGCATTGACAGTCGACAGAGCGGAAAACCATGCCAGATCGCATTCAAAACAGCAAACTTCAATGCATATGGTAACTTACACACATTCTGACCACACACCACCTTTCAATAAGTTGAACCCAAACAGCCCTATATCGATCGTTTGTTTGCCAAGTGCCTCAAGTAGTTCTGTTGAGTGAGCTTTGAGCAAAAATGTGTGAAAGAAGAACTGGCTAGATACACAACTCTCTGAAGTGCAGCTAAAGAGAAAATGGTTGGTGGAGGTACGCGAACCACTACCTCCTTCTGTTCGATTCAGCTCTAACGGGGATATTTGGTGCTCAGCCTCGGATTCCGTCAGATGGGGAGTTTTCCTATCCGTCTCTGGACAGACTAGATGGTTTCTTGAGCGGGGAATAAGAATTCTGACAGTTTTATGAAGACGCGAGGGAGCCCACTGCTTTGTAAAGTTCATATGACTAATTCATGCCAAGTCTTCATGTGCTGAGTACTTCAAATGCCTTCTCGAAATTATGTTCATCCAAAGGAAGACCGCATTTAGATTCTGAACATTTCAGCTGCAAGTTGTTATCTGGTTAAGGCTTTTGTGGTTCAACCTAAGTGTCTACTGACAGCTGGAATGCATGACTATGGCATTAATACCATTTTCACCTCCAGCGCTTATGCTCAGTTTTCTAGGTTTTAGGACGGGCGTTGATGGATTGTGTGCGGCAGTTGAGGCATCTGCCTTGTGTGGCAATTCTATGTAGAAAGGAGTCACATCTGAAACTTGGGAAACCACCATGAAATCTGTGCTTAACTAACCACCTTGACGTGTGCGATTACCCCTGCGCTCCTGAAAGCGTATTAATCTAGTTGGAATTCTCTTATTCTCATTCGTCATTGCAAAGTCCCACATACAAACTCGTTGGCCGAAAACTTTTTCTTGGCTATAGTTACTCGTTTTTCACCCGAGTTTGACATCAACTTATTGATGATAACAATTTTGACTGTGTGTTGACCCAAGGCTTGTTGAACAGGCAGAAACCATGCACCACACAGTATAAAAGACTTGAAGCCTTCGTTTATTTGATCTATCCTTCGAACGCACTTATAAATGTAAAATTTGCACTCAAAAACTAGTGCGTGCATCTCAGTAGACGTGACCCTCCGGATAAATAGGCACTTCGCCGTGTCTAGTTTAGTACCATATTTTATATACATGGAAGGTACCTTCCATCATCACATCACGTGATGTGACTCGGACGCCGCTGTTGCCAACAGCGCTGCTTTTCAAAAGTCGGTATGTTTTTTCATGTGAAACAATCAAGTTCAGCAACAAATGATTTAACATTAGCAGCACATTTATCAGTAAGTTCAACGTGGAAATTGGATGTTCAGGCGGATGACTGTGGCCGTCCTTTTTCTCTACCGGCAACATGCGATCAATCTCTTTTTGATTAAGACACACTAATCAGAGATATTAGAACGCAGTCGGTATATACACTTCCTTTAAGCAACTCATCGATTTCTACTGCGCCTTGAGTCATGAGGCCATTTTCATGAGGGGTTGTAGCGTGGGACGTCAGGAAGTCAGCGGTATTCGACGTTCGAGAGGATGTAGCGACGGCAAACGTCGGTTCTGAAATGTGCAGATGTACGGACTGGTATTAATGAATCCACACGGTATACACAGCACACATGCGCACAGGTCGGGTGGAACATGGAAGAAGACCGGAGTATGGCAACAACGCACGTGTATTGAACCGAAACCGAAACCGGAAGACGGGGATACAAAGTCCGGTCAAGGTCAATCAGTGGGGGTGAATAAGAGGGTTACTCTTTCCTGCCCGGTGCTCGTTGTGGCTCGTCCGTGATACCTGCAATAGGGGGAGAGAGAGAGGCACACATAAGGTCATATGATAGGCGTGCAAGCAGATACAGTCGAGTTTCAAATGCGTTACAGGGTTATGTAATTCGAATACCCGCAGCAGCAGCTGACCGACTCCCATGAGTTGACCTTGACGGAATCGACACTTCAGACTTAACAACTTCAGATTACCCGGTCCCTGTGTATAGAAATCTTGTAGTTCGTCTGGCCATTAATGGCTATTCTTTGCACATGCTCTGGTAGATCGGTGACTTTTCTTGAGTGAGATCAACACAACTTTGTGCAGCGTCCCAGATAGAGGAACACGGTGGTACGATATAAAGAAACCACAACCCAGGTGGTTGTGTGATATAAAAAAAGTCGCGTTG